TTTCACATTCATATTCTCTTTTCTCCTTCCATAACTGATCATTCAACATTACTGCTACCCCTTCCTTTGCTTTAACTCTCTCAGATACTCCAGATTTAATCCCATTTATTTCCCCCCACTGAAACTCCCCTACCCCCTTCAGCTTTGTTTTGCTTAGGGCCAGGACATCCAACTTCTTTTCATTCATAACATCAGCAATCATCTGTTTCTTGTCATCCACACTACATCCACACACATTCAAGCATCCCAGTTTTATAAAGTTTTTCTTCTTCTCTTTTTTAGTAAATGTCTACAGGAGAAGGGGTTACTAGCCCATTGCTCCCGGCATTTTAGTCGCCTCATACGACACGCATGGCTTACGGAGGAAAGATTCTTTTCCACTTCCCCATGGACAATAGAAGAAATAAAGAAGAACAAGAGCTATTTAGAAAAAGGAGAAAAACCTAGATGTATGTATATATATATGCATGTGCGTGTCTGTGAAGTGTGACCAAAGTGTAAGTAGGAGTAGCAAGATATCCCTGTTATCTAGCGTGTTTATGAGACAGAAAAAGAAACCACCAATCCTACCATCATGCAAAACAGTTACAGGTTTCTGTTTCACAGTCATCTGGCAGGACGGTAGTACTTCCCTGGGTGGTTGCTGTCTACCAACCTATTTACAAGGCAGGTGACAGGTCCTTGGCTTTGAACTATAGACCAATAAGTCTTACCTCTATAGTGGGAAAATTTATGGAATCAATAATTGCTGAAGCAATTCGTAGCCATCTTGATAGGCACAGATTGATTACTGAATCTCAACACGGTTTTACCAAGGGGCGTTCCTGTCTTACGAATTTACTAACTTTTTTCACTAAGGTGTTTGAGGAGGTAGATCATGGTAATGAATATGATATTGTGTATATGGACTTCAGTAAGGCTTATGATAGAGTTCCACATCAGAGACTTTTGAGGAAACTTAAGGCACATGGAATAGGAGGAGAAATTTTTTCCTGGGTAGAGGCATGGTTGACAAATAGGAAGCAAAGAGTTTGCATAAATGGGGAGAAATCAGAATGGGGGCACGTCACAAGTGGTGTTCCACAGGGGTCAGTGTTGGGCCCCTTGTTGTTCACAATTTACATAAACGACATAGATGAGGGAATAAATAGCGACATAAGCAAATTTGCTGATGACACCAAAATAGGCCATCCAATTCATTCTATTGAGGACATTAATGCACTCCAGGAGGATTTGAACAGACTGATGCAGTCGTTGGAGAAGTGGCAGATACAGTTTAATATAGACAAATGCAAAGTTCTAAATGTTTTACAGGACAATAACCATGCCACTTATAAACTGAATAGTGTAGATCTTAATACTACTGATTGCAAAAAGGATTGAGGAGTTCTGGTTAGCAGTATTCTGAAACCAAGACAACAGTGCATAAGTCTTCACAATAAAGCTAACAGAATCCTTGGCTTCATATCAAGAAGTATAAATAATAGAAGTCCTCAGGTTGTTCTTCAACTCTATATATCCTTGGTTAGACCTCATTCAGATTACGCTGCACAGTCCTGGTCACCATATTACAGAATGGATATAAATGCACTGGAAAACGTACAGAGGAGGATGACAAAGCTGATCTGACAAAGCTCTGAATCTGCACTCTCTAGAAAGGCATAGAATTAGGGGGGATATGATTGAGGTGTTTAAATGGAAAATAGGAATAAATAAAGAGGGTGTAAATAGTGTGCTGAAAATATCCAGCCAAGACAGGACTCACAGCAGTGGTTTCAAGTTGGAAAAGTTCAGATTCAAGAAGGACATAGGAAAGCACTGGTCTGGTAATAGAGTTGTGGATGAATGGAACAAACTTCCGAGTACCATCATAGAAGCTAAGACCTTGTGTAGTTTTAAAAATAGGTTGGATAAATACATGAGTGGGTGTGGGTGGGTGTGAGTTGGACCTGACTAGCTTGGGCTTCCAGGTCTGGTGCCGTGCTCCTTCCTTAAGTGGAAGTGACCTGACTAAGTGGTCATTGTTCTAGGCCGGGGGGTGGCATGGACCTGCTTCGCATGGGTCAGTAGGCCTGTTGCAGTGTTCCTTCTTTCTTATGTTCTTAAATGACACTTGCCTGGCCTTAAAATCACTCGCATCACCACTAGTTGCAGGCATTTTTATAATTAAATCGCCATGTAACTGCCTTGCCTTTTCACATATGATCACTTGGGAGATGCTATCTCCTGATACCTGTTTTTCATTTATCCACACCAATAACAGTCTCTCAACATCTTCGAGTACTTGCGATCTGTGTTTTGAAAAGATGCTTGCACCTTTTGCAACAACAGCTTCCTTGATTGCCTTTCTGTTGGCCAAGTTAGTAGCGATGGTTGATAGCGGTTTGTTATACAACCTGGCCAGCTCGGAGACACGCACTCCAGTTTCATACTTTGTGATGATCTCCTTCATTTCAATTGCAATTCTCACCCTTTTTACCACAGGGTTGGCACTAGAAGCTTTCTTGGGGCCCATGGTGGCTTATTTTGCAGTTACAAGCACTAAAAACACTAGAATAATACAAAATGTACCGAATGTATGCGTGGATGTGACCGGACTGCCTTGTAAACACTGGCACACTAACTAAAGGCAGGGCAGAAAAGGCGCGCTCAGGCCAGACGGGACATGTGGACACGTTTGGGACGAATCATGTTGGTCGAGTTTTTCATTGTTGGTCGGGCCAAAATTTTTACGCTCAAATGCTTCATTAGTCGAATTTATCATTAGACGATGCCTTCGTTGGTCGGGGGTCCACTGTACTGTAATATAAATGATAATGAAAATAGAGCATTTAGTGCAAGAGATTAAGATTTATTGTAATGTTAAATCAATCAATCAGTCAAGTTTATTCTCTATAAAGATTACAATGCGGGGTTTACAGGTTTTGGATATTGTGTGGTTTACATGTTATAAAATACTAATTACAGAGGGGGCCACTAGGACACCTAGCATGGCTAGGCATTTCAGGCAGGCTTAGATTAATTTTTAACTCTAAATTATTACAAATTATGGAGTAAGTTGGTATTAAGGCTAAGTGACTATATTATAGTTTGTGAGTTTAGCAATGTAAATGCTTTTGTTTTGGCACAATACACAGGTTCTATATTGTAGTATCACAGGCAAACTTATGACTAGTTAGGATTCATTATTTTATGATTAAGATTCGTATTTCTGTGATTATAGACAAGTAGGTGAGTGAGTGTAAGTGTGAACAGGTGGTTTTCATGTAGTTAGTTGTCGGGGTGTATCGGGGAGATAAGATGTTGTCTAACAGTAGTTTTGAAGGTGATGAATGTGTCTGTATTTCTAGAGCTTTCGGGTAGGGTGTTCGAGATTTTAGGCCCTTTGCATGCATAGAATTTTTGTAAAGGTTTAGTCGAACACTGGGAATGTCATAGAGATGTTTGTGTCTGGTGTTATGCCTGTGGGTCCTGTCACAACTATCAAGAAAGTGTTTTAGGTCAAGGTTAATATTGGAATTTAAGGTCCTGTAGATGTAGATTGCACAGTAGTAAGTGTCGATGTTCTGAACAGGGAGTAAGTTTAGATCTATGAATAGTGGGGAGGTGGGTGTTGCCAGGGATGGGATTTAGTGATTATTCTTACTGCAGCTTTTTGTTGGGTTATTATTGGCATTAGGTGTGTTGCTGCAGTTGATCCCCAAGAACAAATAGCATAGGTGAGGTATGGATAAATGAGTGAATGGTATAGTGTGAGAAGGGCAGTTTGCGGCGCGTAGTATCGTATCTTGGAGAGGATTCCAACCATTTTGGATACTTTTTTATGTGTTGGATATGGGTGCTGAAATTCAGGTTGTTGTCGAGGTATAGGCCTAGGAACTTGCCCTAATTATGTCTGGCAATTAGAGTGTTGTCGATCTTAATATTAAGTTGCGCAACACCTGCTTTGCTACCAAACATAATGTAGTAGGTTTTGTCAGTGTTAAGTGTAAGTTTATTGGCTGTCATCCAAGTTGATATTTTGACCAGCTCCTCATTAACAATGGTGTTGAGGGTGGCAAGAATAGGGTGGGATATGACATAAGTCGTGTCGTCAGCAAAAAGAATGGGTTTCAGGTGTTGGGATATGTTTGGAAGATCATTGATGTAAATGAGGAAGAGCATATTTAAAAGCAAGTTCTATATGGAGGTAATGTGATAATGGTTGGAGATTTGATTAAATTAAAAATTTGCTGTAATTTATAACTAAGAAGTAAAAGTATAAGGGTCAATTTAAGGAGTCGCTACATTAAAAATTGTTTCAGGGAAATACATTGAGTACACTGTTAAAAAAAAAATTGCTTTAATTCATTAAGGAATTAAAAAAAATTAAACTTGTGCTGCCAAAATTTACATTATGCAGTAATAAATGAACATAACTGTTTCTGTTAGTGTTTAGACTTAAGATGATTACTAATTGACCTCTTGACAATATACAATATGGTAACATGAATGACCCAAATGCTTTGTGTATTTTGCAGAAATTCTGTTACCCAATGATTAAAACTTCTTATCTGGTTAATCAGTTTTTCTTTTTTTTTTACTAGAAGTCATTTGCTAGGATTAAAAGTGAGTTCACATTTGGCACAATATCTTCTGCACATTTCATTATTTTCATAGAAATCATTTTATAGATGCAAAGAACTAGATTATTAATGTTGTATTGCCAAGATACAACAGCTTTAGTACTGCCAGTGAGGCACATGCTTTCATATACTTTAAAGTCAACAATGAGTCACAATTGACAGCAGTTAATTAATATCTATAAAGAACACTTTGTTTAACTCCATTTCTCAGGATAAATATCCACAGAGGATTCTATTTTCAAGTATCTTTTTTGACCAACAAAGTGTGATTGATTTTAAATATTCTATAATGCTTTAGGAATGTTTTAAAACCCCATTTATTATACCATTATATAAAAAAAACTAAAATATTTTTCCTTTTTTCTGTTTTTTCAGTGAGAGCAGCAATCTTTCCCCCAATTGTAACACACCCTTAACAGAAACAGACTTTTTTTCCCGACTCGTGCTAGCGGGGACCCGCAGCCTCAGAGTAAAATTTTTCCAAATCAACCCTTGGATCACACGCTAATAATCTTATGTAAAAATTGGCACCTACCACATGCCCTTTAGGTATTTTAAATTTTATTTTGTCTTGGAAATTTACAATAATCAAAAAAAATTTTTTTTTCTTTGAACAAAAAGATGAAATTACAGGGTCAGTATGGTGATCTAGTAATAAAAAAATTTTGTTTTCCAAGGAAAACCCCTTGAATAGATTAAGGGGTAATTTTTAAAAGGAGACTTTTTTTGTGTTTTGGCGGTTTTTGATAAAAAACTTTTGTAGATCCCATACATTTATTCCAAAGTGAAAATGGGTAGATCAAAAGTACTGTAATACAGAGTAAGTAATGTTGAATGAGGTACATAGCAACATACTCTGGAAAGAATACCCACTGTTTTGGAAACTTTCTTTGATATGTGCTGGTTATGATTCCCAAAGTTAGGTTTGCTGTCACTGTGGATTCCCAGACATTTTCCTTCCTTCTGTCTTTTAATGTGTGAATTATTTATCAATGTATTTAGCTCAACTTGAGTCCTGGAAATGGGAAGTACAATGCCTGCACTTTAAAGGAGGGGTTTGAGATATTGGCAGTTTGGAGGGATATGTTGTGTATCTTTATACGTATATGCTTCTAAGCTGTTGTATTCTGAGCACCTCTGCAAAAACAGTGATAATGTGTGAGTGTGGTGAAAGTGTTGAATGATGATGAAAGTATTTTCTTTTTGGGGATTCTTTCTTTTTTGGGTCACCCTGCCTCGGTGGGAGACGGCCGACTTGTTGAAAAAAAAAAAAAAAATTTGGTTTATTTCCTGAACATTATACACTTTGGATGGTCTTGTGATTATTGAGCATAGTTTATTTAATGGTAGCTCAACGTTAATTGTTATTGGGCTCAGCCAGATCTATATTGGAGATCATGAAAGCATCGACATGTGTGAATAAGTTGTTAATGCATTTGGTAGCTCATTAAAGGAGAAATAAGAGCGGTCTTAGTATATTGCCTTACAGTACCACTGTGTTAATGGGTTGAGTAAGTGAAATGGTGTCATTTACAGACACATTAATTTAAGGAGTAGGATGTTGTGGTCTTCTATATCAAAAGCTTGTTTTAGATCAATAAGGAGGTTTATTGGATATTCATTATTCTCTAGGGATGTGTAGATTTAGTCAAGCACTTTTGTTGTTGCATCATTTGTCCTTTTCTTTTTATTGGCCTGAAACCAGGGTTAAGTATATTGGGTTTTGTTATAACCTTGTATCTTTCCTTGTGTCTTTTTACAAATATTTTAGATAACTTTCGTTTTTCTTTTTGCGCCACCTCGCCTTGGTGAGATATGGCCAGTTTGTTGTTGTAAGAAGTAAGGTGAAACTTGGTTTATAGTTATTGATGCAAGCTGCCTCTTCACTTTTATAGACATATAATTACAGGATAGGTTGGATGTTTTCAGTCTATTAATTTGTTAAATAACATTGCAGTAGTTGGTGATAGTATATGTGCCACTTTCTTATAGATCAGAGAAAGTATATTGGCTTTACTTTCTGCTTTATTTTTTAGTGAATTTATTACTGCATTTATGCATTCAGAAAAGGCTTATAACAGGTTAGATAAAAGAGCAATATGGCAAATGTTACATATGTATGGAATAGGTAGTACATTACTGAAAGCATTAAAGAGTTTTTATGCAGATTGTGAGGCTCAGGCTAGAGTATACAAGAGAGGGGGATTATTTTCCTGTAAAAGTAGGCCCTAGACAGGGATGTGTGATGTCACCATAGTTGTCTAACATACTTATAAATTGAGTTGTGAAGTGAATCCTAGTTTTTGGGAGAGGTGTGGAATTAAAAGATAACAAATTTGACAGTCAGAGATGTCACAATTGCTCTTTACCTATGACACAGTTCTTTTGAGAGATTCTGAAAAGAGGGTGCAAAGGATGGTGGAAGAATTTGGGAGGGTATGTAGAAGGATATTAAAAGCAAAGGAAAGAACAAGGTGATGAGAGTAACAAAATTTGGGTAATGAAAGATTAGATACAAGATTGTAATGAGTGAATCTGGAGGAAGTAGATGTGTTCAGATTTGGGAGTCTGTCAGTGATGGGTCTATGAAGACGAAGTAAACTATGTAATAGAGGATGGGAAAAAATGTGGGTGGTGTGTTGAGGTCTTGTAGAGGTAAAGAATTTATTTATGGAGGCAAAAAAAAAAAAGGAGGGGGAGATTTAGAGTAGTATAGTGGTACTAACACTTGCTGTGTGGGTGTGAAGCATGGGTTTCAAGTGTTGCCGCAGGTAGGAGGCTGGAGGCAACAGAGGTGTTGTGCTGGAGGACAATGTGTTGTATGAATATTGTGAAGAGAATTCGGAGTATGGAGATTACAAACAATAGTGGAATTAACAAAAATATAATTCAGATTGATGAGAAGGGGTTGTGAAGATTATTAAGGTATTGAAAGAGGATGGAGCAAAATAGGATGACTATGAGGGTATATAATTCTGGGAGAAGGGAAGGAGTGGTAAGGGTTATCCCAGGAAAGGTTAGAGGGAGAAGGTAAAAAGGGTTTTGAGAGCTTGGATATCCAACAGGTTTGTGTGAGTGTTAGATCAGAGTGGAGGTCATTTAGTTATTATGACTGCATGCTGGTGGTGTGTGAGCAAGGTAACTTGTATGAAATATTTCAGGGGAAACTAGCGAGTTGGATTTGAGCTTTAGGGATAGGAAGTACAGTGTCTTTTACCATTTGGTGGACCATCTGAACTGTGATTATTGATGGTATTAATAATTGACATTTTATTGAGAAAACTAGCTACTTTTGGGTCTTTAGCCAGAGGGAGATTAATGAAGTCTCCAGTTATTATTAGGTGATGCTTATTAAGGTTTTGATACAAAGTGTTTGAGATTGTCTCCAAAGCTGGATTTATTAATATGAGACGGTAAACTGTGCATGTTGTGAGTGTGGTTTTTAGGTTTCTAATTGTAAATTGCTCAAGTATGTATTCACCAAATCATATTTTGGTACATATAGAGGTAATACATTTCATCTCATTCACAAATTACAGTGCTATTCTACCTCCCTTTTGATCAGGTCTGAAGCTGTACATGACTATACCCAGGCAGGTTGTATATATCTGTTGCGTTGTGTTTTAATTATGTGTTTCTGTAGGTTAGTGATTGTAGTCATGTAGAGATGTCATCACAGTGCATTGTTGTTGAATATTGATATGCTCTTTTTATTCCTGGAGTTGCTGTTGACAAGGATGGTTGTGTAATATCTGCAGACTTGATCAGTGGTAAACTGGTTATTGTAGAAGTCAGAGGAGATTCAGCTTGGGATCAATATCAGCATTCATGAACCATGGGTAGTGGTTCAATAGTAACACTGATAATAGTAGCGAAAGCTGGGTCCATTGTTGCATCAGAATATACTGAAGCAGGAAGGGAATGGAAGAAAGTAATTTTTGTAAGACTTAATTAAGGAAGTGAGTGAGTGAATTAATGTTTGAGTGAATGAAAGATGAATGAATTAATTAATTAGTGGGAGGGAGAGGAAGGGAAAGGACTAGAGACTTCCTCTTCTGTTGTTAATTTTCACATCCTTGTCTGATTCTCAAGAAAAGTTTTGTGTTCTAAGCTACAGTACTGCTGCATACTGTGATTCAGTTGCATGTGTTATTCTTCTAGCTTGTTTTTATGGGTTATTGTTTTCATGTAAATGCATGTTCTTTCAAATATTAATATGTGAGCCTTTAGGCTTTCTTTTCAATGTCTGTTGACATTGGCTAAGTCACTGTTTAACCTAGTGTACTGTAGTATTTCTTTTCATTTGAAGGATAACTAAAGGCAAGAAATTTAAGAATTGAGACACTTGTGCAATACTTGGGAATCTTTATTGAAGAAACGTTTCGCCACACAGTGGCTTCATCAGTCCAATACAAAGTAGAAATGGGTAAGGAGAGGAGGAGTTCGAGGTAATCAGTCCCTCAGCCTGGAATCGATGTGTTCAGTCCATTACTCTTGTAGGAAGTGAAGCATAGGGCCAGAGAGGTGGCTTATATACGGCAGTCAGATGAGTTGAAGCAGGAGGAGGCGGGATCACAGTGGGACCTGCCACTTGTGTAAGTAGGTCGTCGTCCAAAGGTTGGGCAAGCGTTGAAGTCTTTGTACCAAGATCCCATGATGTTGCAGTGTCTGACAGATGTGGTGAATGGTTTTGAAAACCGACAAGTTGAAGAATTGAGACACTTGTGCAACACATGGGAATCTTTATTGAAGAAACGTTTCGCCACACAGTGGCTTCATCAGTCCAATACAAAGTAGAAATGGGTAAGGAGAGGAGGAGTTCGAGGTAATCAGTCCCTCAACCTGGAATTGATGTGTTCAGTCCATCACTTTGTATTGGACTGATGAAGCCACTGTGTGGCGAAATGTTTCTTCAATAAAGATTCCCATGTGTTGCACAAGTGTCTCAATTCTTCAACTTGTCGGTTTTCAAAACCATTCACCACACGCAAGAAATTTAATCAGTATTTATTATACATCAAGGTAGTAGGTTGGTAGACAGCAGCCATCCAGGGAGGTACTACCGTTCTGCCAAGTGAGTGTAAAACGAAAGCCTGTAATTGTTTTACATGATGGTAGGATTGATGGTGTCTTTTGTCTGTCTCATAAACATGCAAGATTTCAGGTATGTCTTGCTACTTCTACTTACACTTAGGTCACACTACACATACATGTATAAGCATATATATACACACCCCTCTGGGTTTTCTTCTATTTTCTTTCTAGTTCTTGTTCTTTTTTATTTCCTCTTATCTCCATGGGAAAGTGGAACAGAATTCTTCCTCCGTAAGCCATGCGTGTTGTAAGAGGCAACTAAAATGCCGGGAGAAAGGGGCTAGTAACCCCTTCTCCTGTGTAAATTACTAAATTTAAAAAGAGAAACTTTCGTTTTTCTTTTTGGGCCGCCCTGCCTCGGTGGGATACGGCCGGTTTGTTGAAAAAAAAATAATTTATTACACATTGGACTTTTAATTATAACAGTATGTTATTTTCAGTATTTCATTAAGATTTATTTCTAATGTACTTGTTTATACTTCAAACATCACAGGATTATTTTCTCAATCTGTTGTTGTTATTCTTACATGATAGCTAAAGTTTGTATGGTTACTGTGGCATAAAGTTGTGTAAGACTATTCCACAGATATGGAATGTGTCTTGTGTTTACATATTGCAAGTACAGGTCAGCTATCACTAATCCGGAAATCAGTAATCCAGCACTAATTTGGGCTAGCACAATTTCAAATTTCTGGGGTCACCACATCAACCTGCCGCTACTGTTTGGTTTACCTGGAGAGGGTTTTGGGGGTCAATGCCCCCGCAGCTCAGTTTGAGACCAGGCCTCATGGTGGATCAGGGTCTGATCAACCAGGCTGTTACTGCTGGCTGCACACAAACTGATCTACGAACCACAGCCGGTTGGTCAGGTACTAACTTTAGGTGCCTGTCCAGTGCCAGGCACTGGACAGTCACCAGGAGTCTATTGGTAATCCCCCTTATGTATGCTAGGAGGCAGTTGAACAGTCTTGGGCCCCGGACACTTATTGTGTTGTCTCTCAGTGTACTCGTGGCGCCCCTGCTTTTCATCGGGGGAATGTCGCATCTCCTGCTGAGCCTTTTGCTTTCATAAAGAGTGATTTTCGTGTGCAGGTTTGGTACCAATCCCTTCAGGACCTTCCAAGTGTATATTATCATGTATCTCTCTCACCTGCTTTCATAGCTTAATATAAATTAGTTTATTCGTATGTAACCTCACCTAATGTAAATCACTAAATTTAGCCTAAATGTAAACATAGCAGGCACCAAATATGAACCTAGGTTGTTAAGTTTCTGGTTTGTACAGCTTTTAATTTATTGAACATTAAGATTGGTATCATTGTGAGTTTTCAATTTCTTCCTCAGCCAGTTATGTGTCCTAATGAGTGTTCAGCTACAGTGCTTCAGAAAGAACTAGAGCAGCACTTGATGTCCGAGTGTGTCTTACGGGTGAAAATGTGTGATCTCTGTAACGAACCCTTTACTTTCAACCAAGAGCAGGTTTGTGCAGATGAAGTTACAAATGTTAGTGGTATTTTTGACATATAAGAAGTGTACATCATATAAGCAGGCATTTAACATAATTCAGGTGTTGCCATTTAATGTAAATGTAAGTATTTTGTACATACTATATATATACAGTACTGGTGGTGTATTTTATTTGCTGTGTAATATGATACATTGAATATATTATTCTGATGTTTTGTAAAGAAACCCAACTTGGTAGTTCACCATGACTTTTGTCTATATTATTTGTGCTCCATTTATTGTGTTATTATAGCTTACAGCTTTCTTTTTGTACTTTGTGGTTGTTGAGGTGGTTTGGTTATATAGAGAGGATGGAAAAGAGTAAGATGACAAAATGGGTATACAAATCTGGGGTGGAAGGTAGGAGGGATGGGACAGGTTGTCTCAAGAATGGTTGAATGGAGAGGGTAAAAGAGGCTTTGAGTTTAAGGGGCTTGAGCATCCAGCAGGCTTATATGAGAACAGTATGGTAGACAGGAGTGAATGAAATGAGTGGCTTTTAATTTATGTATTGATGGAATGTGAGACTTGAGTCCTGGAAGGGCAGTGCCTGTACCCTAAAAAAAATGGGTGAGGATGAGGAAGTGGTATGGTGATGCCGACAAGATGTGGAAAAAGACACTTGTGTACAGTTCAGGACATTTATTAAAGGAAATGTTTTGCTATGAGTGGCTTCTTCTTGGTTTTCTCTGTATTAGGACTGAAGAAGCCACTCATGGCAAAATGTTTCCTTTAATAAATGTCCTGAACTGTACATAAGGGTCTTTTTCCACATGGGTGGGGATGTTGCTGTCAGAGGGTAATCTGAATTGTGGTGTCAGTACACTTCTGCCAAGACAGCAGTTGAATGAGTGATAGTAAATGTGTTTTCGTCTTTGAATATTCCTGTCTTGGTGAAAGATGGCCTTGTTATTATCTTTTTTTTTTCATATGTCATATATTTTATTCATTGTATTATATATTATAGAAGACAAAAGTAAAGACAGTGATTATGTATGTGTAATGGTGAAAGTGTTGAATGATGAAAGTTTTTTCTTTCTTTTTGGTTCACCATGCCTCGGTGGGAAACGGCTGACGTTAAAAAAAAAAAAATACAGTGGTACCTCAGGATATGAACTTAATTTGTTCCAGAAGGCTGTTTGAGTGCCGATACCAAACGAATTTGTTCCCACGAGGAATAATGTAAATTAAATTAATCCATTTCAGACCCCCAAAAATACACTTGCATAAATACGCTTACATAATTTTTCAAGATTTGAGCTGTTCGTATCCCAGGGTACCACTGTATTATATATGGGCAGTGAAGCTTAGGTTTGGGTATACAGTGGACCCTCAGTTAACGATGCCATCGGATAGCAATAAAATTGGATACCGATACATTTTTGCGTCAAAATATTGGCTCGGCTAACGATGAAAAACTCAAGTTAAGGACATTCGTCCTGAACATGTCTGCGCAGCCTGAGCCCATGTACAGGTAGTGTTTACAAGCCAGTGAGGACGATTCCACACGTACATGCAATATATTTTATATTATTCCATTGCTTTTAGTGCTTGTAACTGCTAAATAAGCCACCATGGGCCCAAAGAAAGCTTCTAGTGCCAGCCCTGTGGTAAAGAAGAAAAGAAGCATAATAGAATTCAAGAAAAAACTCGTAGCAAAGTACCAAAGTGGAGGAGGAAGAGAGGGGAGAATGTGCCTTCTGCAGTGATTCAGTGATTCTACGATATGTACGATACTACAGCAGCAGGTATCGATAAAGGCTATAGTGCCAGCCAGCAATAAAGTGTAGAATTAACAGTGTAGCAAGTAAGTTAAGCGAGTAAGCGATAGAAAAACGACACGAAAGTAACTCTCCAGTGTTGCTGGATGTGTATCGGGCCAGTGAACATACGCTGGCCTGCTGTCGTCCACCACCCTAAACCTCTGCCAGCATCTCCTCCATCAAACTAGTTAAACTAACATCTCCAAGGTAAGTGTAAATATAAAAGTATGAGTATAAAAGTAAATGTAAGTATAAATATAAAAGGTCCCCAGTGGAAATAGTCACTCTGACTTTTTTGGGTTATCCTAGGTACTTTACACATATGCTGCTATGTATGATAATCTATGTACGTAACTATATTTCTGTATACCTGAATAAACTTACTTATTTATAAATTAAAATGTAAATATTTCTTATTTATAAATTAAAATGTAAACATTTCTTATTTATAAATTATGTACATTAAGTGTGATAGTGTTTGTGGGTTCTGCTGGTGGCTCCACCACTATGTACGGCTTCTCTCAGTGGCCCTTATAAACTCAACAACAACACTTCCACCACTTACTCCTCTCATACATTATGACATATTTTATTCATTTTAGAGTATATATCATGTTTCTATGTTATTAATATTGTTTATTATGTCATAGTAGATGAATTGTGATAGATAAATAAGCCGTAGAGATGATGATAGCGTCATATTGAAGCATAATAAACTCACCTTCCTCTTGCCTCCTACATGTATTTGTCTTCCATACACCAACAAGAGTTAGTGCTTTATATTTATTTGTTATTGTTTTCTGTATGTATATCTATATTTAATCTTTAAAAAAAAATACTTTTTGTTAATACTTTTGGGTATCTGAAATGGATTAATTGGATTTCCATTATTTCTTATGGGGAAACTTAAATTGGATAATGATAAAATCGGTTAAGGACAAGCTCTCTGGAATGGATTAATGTCGTTAACTGAGGGTCCACTGTATAGTAGAGGGAGATTATTTTTCAGTATAAGTCTTAGACAGGGATGTGTGATGTCACCATGGTTGTTTAACTTAAGGTATTTATAGATGGGATTGTAAAAGAAGTGAATGCTAGGGTATTGGGGAGAAATATGCAGTTGAAAGATGAAGAATCGGGTATTGAATGGGAGTTGTCGCAGTTGCGTTTTTGCCAATTTCATAATTCTTTTGGGAGATTCTGATGTGAAGTTTTACCTGTTGGTAAGGAACTTTGGGAGGATATATAAAAGAAGAAAATTAAAAGTTAACATAGGAAAGAGCAAGGTGATGAGAGCATCAAAAAATATAGGCAGTGAGAGACTGGATAGTAGATTGGAGGGAGGGAGCATGGAGGAAGTAAAAGTATTCAGGTATTTGCTAGTGGGCTTGTCGCTGGATGGTTCTGTGAGAGATAAGGTTAACTATATAATTGACAAGGGAAAGAAGGTGGATGATGCTTTGAGGCATTTATGGAGACAAAGAAATTTATCTGTGGAGGCCAAAAGGAGAATGTGCCAGAATATAATGATACCAAAACTGTGGTATGGGTGTGAAGCATGGGTTTTGAATATTGTAGCAAGCAGGAGGTAAGTGGATGTGACCTGACCTGACTAGGTGGGTCATTGGTTTAAGCTGGGAGGTGATGTGAACCTGCCTTGCATGGGCCAGTAGGCCTGCTGCAGTGTTCCTTCTTACTTATGTTCTTCTGAGATCATGATTGAGGGCATTGTATTGTGAATATTATTCAAAGAATTCAGAGTTTGGAGATTAGGGAAAAAGTGTTGAGTTCTTCTGTCAACAAACAGGCCATATCCCACCAAGGCAGGGTGGCCCAAAAGGTAAAATGAAAGTTTCTCCTTTTAAATTTAGTAATATATATATATATATATATATATATATAGGAGGAGTTACTAGCCCCTTGATCTCTGCATTTTAGTCGCCTCTTTTTACAACACGCATGGCTTACGGAGAATTCTGTTCCGCTTCCCCATTGAGAAAGTGTGAAGTTATCAAATATATTATTCAGAAATCATAGGAGGGATTGTTGAAGTGGTTGGGATGTTTAGAGAGAATGGAGAAAAAATAGGATGACTAGGATGACTGATGCAGTGGTCGGAGAAGTGGCAGATGCAGTTTAATATAGACAAATGCAAAGTTCTAAATGTTGGACAGGACAATAACCATGCCACATATAAACTAAATAATGTAGATCTTAATATTACGGATTGCGAAAAAGATTTAGGAGTTCTGGTTAGCAGTAATCTGAAACCAAGACAACAGTGCATAAGTGTTCGCAATAAAGCTAATAGAATCCTTGGCTTCATATCAAGAAGCATAAATAATAGGAGTCCTCAGGTTGTTCTTCAACTCTATACATCCTTGGTTAGGCCTCATTTAGATTATGCTGCACAGTTTTGGTCACCGTATTACAGAATGGATATAAATTCTCTGGAAAATGTACAAAGGAGGATGACAAAGTTGATCCCATGTATCAGAAACCTTCCCTATGAGGATAGACTAAGGGCCCTGAATCTGCACTCTCTAGAAAGACGTAGAATTAGGGGGGATATGATTGAGGTGTATAAATGGAAGACAGGAATAAATAAAGGGGATGTAAATAGTGTGCTGAAAATATCTAGCCTAGATAGGACTCGCAGCAATGGTTTTAAGTTGGAAAAATTCAGATTCAGGAAGGATATAGGAAAGTACTGGTTTGGTAATAGAGTTGTGGATGAGTGGAACAAACTCCCGAGTACAGTTATAGAGGCCAGAACGTTGTGTAGCTTTAAAAATAGGTTGGATAAATACATGAGTGGATGTGGGTGGGTGTGAGTTGGACCTGATACCTTGTGCTACCAGGTCGGTTGCCGTGTTCCTCCCTTAAGTCAATGTGACCTGACCTGACTAGGTTGGGTGCATTGGCTTAAGCCGGTAGGAGACTTGGACCTGCCTCACATGGGCCAGTAGGCCTTCTGCAGTGTTCCTTCGTTCTTATGTTCTTATGTATAAATCTGGGGTAGAGGGAAGGAAGGGGTCATAATAGGAAATGGTGGAGAGAGGGAGCAAAGGAGATTTTGAGTGCTTGGGGCTTGAACATCCAACAGGCTTGTATGAGTGTGTTAGAAATATGAGTGAGTAAAAGCAAGTGGTTTTTATGATTTGATATGCTAATGGAGTGTGAGCAAGGTAATGTTATATGAGGGAACTCAGAGAAATTGGTTAGCTAAACTTGACTTCAGGAGTGGGAACTACAATGCCTGTGCTCAGAAGGAGAGGTTGAGGATGTTGCAGGGTCATCTGAACTGTAATGACAAGCACACTTCTGGCAAGATGGTGATTGAACGAGTGACAGTGAAAGTGTTTTCATTGTTGGATCACCCTGCCTTAGTGGGAGATGGCCGGAGTGTTAAAAAATTATACGTATTTATTTATTTTTTTAACACACCAGCCATATCCCACCAAGGCAGGGTGACCTAAAAATAAAAGTTTTTCTTTCTAAATTTAGTAATTTATATAGGAGAAGGGGGTTATAAGCTAGCCCCTTGCTCCCTGTATTATTATATACATATATTCAAAATACATATGTATATTCAAAATAGACTTGTCAGCAGAAGGGTTTATGAAGGACAAGATAAACCATAGAATTAATGAAGGAAGAAAGGCAGGTGGTGCATTGAGGTATATGTGGAGACAAAAAAGGGAATGTACCAACACTTATATGGGTGTGAAACATGGGTTGTAAATGCTACAGTGAGGAGGTTGGAGGCAGTGGAGATGTTGTGTCTAAGGGCAATGTGTGGTGTGAATGTTATGCAGAGAATTCGTAATGTGGAAATTAGGAGGAGGAGGAGGTGTGGAATTACTAAAACTATTATTCAAAGGACTAGGGAGGGTTTGTTGAGGTGGTTTGGTCATTTAGAGAGAATGGAGCAAAATTGGATGACTCTGAGGGTGTATAAATCTGTAGTGGAGGGGAGGAGGGGTAGGGGTCATCCTAGGAAAGGATGGAGGGAGGGGGTAAAAAAAAAAGGTTTTGTGTGCAAGAGGCTTGGACATACAGCAGGCATGAATGTGTGTGTTAGATATATGTGAATATAGATCATTATGATCTACATTCACAAACTGTTGGAGTGTGAGCAGGATAATAGTTTGTGAATAGATTGTGAAAAACTGGTTAGCTGGATTTGAGTCCTGGAGGTGGGAAGCACAGTGCCTGCATAAAGGAGGGGTTTGGGATATTTGCTGCATAGAGCAGCCTCTAAACTGTCATATCTGCATGTCCTCTGCAGAGACATTGATTATGTGTGAATGATAGTTTAAGTGTTTTTTAGTGGCCCTGCCTCGGTGGAAGATGGCCAGAGTGTTGAAAAAAAAAATCAAAATATTATACAATAAATCATAAATTATTCAGTGCCCTCAGGAATGAGGGTGGATTTTCAAGCACATTAGATGATCACTTTTTTTTCCCCCATTTCATTTTCATTATTTGTTTAGGTGCAGCATGGAGTAAGATTGTTAATGTTAAATACTGAATAACCAATCACTGGATAATCAGTGATTTACTGTATTTTAATTGTATTTATCCATTTTCAGTTAGCTGTTAATTAATTCATGCTCCAAAAATTTCAGCTTCATCTGTTAACTTGCCGCCATGTTGTAGTTGCATGCGAGATGTGTGGGACGATGGTGGAACGTGGCGATGTTGCTACCCACATGACTGAAACTTGTCAGAAGGTGGTAGTCACTTGCCCCTTTGCAGAGCATGGGTGCCATCAAAAGATGACACGAGCTGACTTAGACCAACACATGGCACAAGAAACACAATTCCACCTCTTTGTAAGTATTTTTTTTTTCATTAAGATTTATACCTTCTGTCTCATGCCATTATTTATTTTATTGTTGAAAAGCATTTAACTAAAAAAATTTGTAGAGTATCTCTAGATTTTTGTGTTTGCAGACAAGATATAGCTGTTCATTGTAGGAAACTTATACTTAACTGGATTATGGTACTCTTTTTAACCCTTTACCTGTGTCCAGCAGCATAAATGTGCCAGCAATATTTACCTTTCACAATTTATTGAAGCCTTATTATGCAGAGAACTTGGAGATTAGAAGAGGTGGGGTTATTGAAGTGGAACAGAATTCTTCCTCCGTAAGCCATGCATGTCGTAAGAGGCGACTAAAATGCCGGGAGCATGGGGCTGGTAACCCCTTCTCTTGTATACGTTACTAAAATTAAAAAGAGAAACTTTGGTATATCTTTTTGGGCCACCCTGCTTCAGTGGGATACAGCCGGTTTGTTGAAAGAAGAAGATAAGAGGTATGTTAAAATTAAAATTTTTTATTACTTATGAGCCATACAAGAGTTACAGTAAATATACATAATTTGATACAAATGTAGGCACAGAAGAAAACCATTAAAAATGCATTGCATTTCGGGCAAATTAATCATAAGGCTCACATGCTACTTAAATCGAGACCTAGCATATGTAATTTATTGAATATCAGTATAACTTGTGTAAATCATGGTAATCACAAGTATAAAGAGAGATTATGAACGACAAATTGGCCAAGTACAAATAAATTAGAGAATTTACATCGGTTCAGTGATCTGCCTTATATGGAGTGATTGAATTGGTGATGAAATTGAAACATGAGAATTTACACTTTTAATGGATATATGATTTAATAGGTTCTTTTAATAGTATTATTAGAGATGATAGATGAGGGACTGTTGTCATTTGCAGGCAGTGAGTTCCAAATTTTTGAGCCTTTTATTTGCATGGAGTTTGAGTAGGTTGAGACGTGTATGTGGGAAGCTTGGAGGGAAAGGGTTAAGGAGATTCTGAATGCTTGGGTCTTGGATGTCCAACAGAAGTGTTGTGAGTGCCTTTAGATTGAGTAGAGGCAAGTGATTTTTATGGCTTGATATGCTGTTTGAGTGCAAGCCAAATAAAATTTATGAATAGATTCAGGGAAACCAGTTAGCCGGACTTGGGAAGTACGGTGCCCTCACACTGAAGAATGGGCGGGGATGTTACAGTTTGGAGGGCCATCTGAAACTAAATTGGCATGCTTCTGTCAAGACAGTGATTGAATGAATAATGGTAAATGTGTTTCATCTTTTTTTTTTTTGTTGGCCTACATCAGTGGGAGATGACTGGTGTGTTTAAAATAAGGAAACTGTTGTTGCATATATACATACGTATACTGCATATTTTCTTAAACACATTAGTCATTTCCCACCGAGGTAAGGTGACAAAAAAAAAATACTTTGTCATTAATTCATTCACTTACTAGCTGTCTTGCCAGTAGCATGCTGACACCACATTCAGATGACCCACCGAAGTGAAACATCTTCATCCCTCCTTCAGAGTGCAACCATTGTACCAGCACCTCCAGGACTCTGAGTCTGGCCATCCAGTTTCCCTGAATCCCTTTATAAGCATTACCTTGCTCACACCCCACTTGAACATGCTCACACAAACCTGTTGGATGTCCAATTCTCTAGTTTATATTGGGTTTCAAGAATTTTCATATTCTTGTAAACCATCCCTGAGCCAAGCTTGTCTGGTCAACAAGGCTGTTGCTCTTGGCATCCTGCTGGCTCACATATCCATCACAGTCTGCTTTACTAATTTGTACCTAGGTGTACTGTAATTATAGAAAATGCAGATTAATGAAAAATGGAAATTTCCTTATTTGAAAAATTCAGAATTTTGGAGAATATTGAAATTACAAAGTGTGGAAAAACATTGTCTTCTATTTGGAAGTTTCTGAAATATTGAAATTTTTTTCCTAATTCATACACAGAATTCTTATTAGACTTATCACTGTGAATTTACAATTTTATTTTCTAGATTTCTGAAAATTTCAAATGTACTATTGTACCTGAAAAGGAAAGAAATCGCTGTGTACTATAAGGGTGTTTTATTCAGAGAAAAGATTAAGCCTTTTATTTTTAATAATATTTTTCCTTTGGTTTGTTTTCAGCTGTTATCATCTGCTTACAAAAAGATCAACACATTTGTATCCGAATTAAGTCGAACAGTTGGGGTTATACAGTCCCCATTTGGAAACTTTAGTCGACAGCCAAGTTTAAGAAGTCAACTGTCAGCCACTTCTCCAATACCTGAGAACCATGTAAGTCCATCACATCCTGAGAGAACATTAGAAAAATCCTTGTCTGCTTCTGGAGCCATTGGGGGCAGCGAGAAGTCATCATTATTTTCTTCAGCTCATCCTGGAGATAGAGGAGCAGATTCAGGAATTGAAGTTAATAAACTTCACCTGCATATGAATCATATGACAATTAATGAAGGTGCCAAAGCAACTTCAAAGTCTTCCATGTCAGTACTGACCCAACAAGATATAATACTGCGTGACTTGTGTGAAAAGAGTGTAGATTTAAGCCAGAGTATGGTAGAGGAGACCATTAAGCTTAGCAATTTGGCCAAGAGGATTGAAGAAATTGATGCTTACGTTGAAGCTCACTTAGCAGAGCTAAATGGAAAATTTTGTAATGGTGAATATGTATGGAGAATAAGGAATTTCTCACAGTTTTGTGCTGAGTTACAAAATAAGCCTGGGAGAGTGTGCCACAGTCCACCATTCTACACATCTCAATTTGGGTATAAATTTTGCTTGCGGACAAACATTACAAGTAAGTTTGATGAGCATTTCTTAGCACTATTTATTCACACAATGCAGGGGGATAATGATGATTTTCTAGACTGGCCATTTTCTGGACGAATAACGATCTCTGTTTTAGATTGTGGCACAGCTTTACCCAAGAAGCACATCACAGAAACAATGATGAGCAAACCAGATCGACAAGCTTTCATGCGGCCAGAGGTATCTCGGAATCCTAAAGGATTTGGCTACACTGACTTTGTACCCCTTAAAAAACTAATTGATGATAAGAATGGGAGCTACATAAAAAATAATATGTTGTGCATTCGTGCAGTGATTTGTCCAGGAACACCATCCATTAAACAAATAGAATGCACTTGAAATTATTAAAACCAGCTATTCAGTATTAATATAAATAAATTAATATATATATTTTTCTACCTTTACACACACACTAGAATCTCCCATAAGCACAGTATCATCAGCAAAAAGTAACTGTGTCAGTTCCCATTTTGTATTTGATTCCCCATAATTTAATCCCACCCCTCTCCCAAACACCCTAGCATTTACTTCTTTTACAACCCCATCTATAAATATATTAAATAACCATGGTGACATTACACATCCCTGTCTAAGACCTACTTTTACCGGGAAGTATTCTCCCTCTCTTCTGCACACACTAACCTGAGCCTCACTATCCTCAAAAACTCTTTACAGCATTTAGTAACTTACCACCTATTCCATATACTTGCAACATCTGCCACATTGCTCCCCTATCCACTCTATAATAAGCCTTTTCTAAATCTATAAATGTAATGAAAACTTCTCTACCTTTATCTAAATACTGTTCACATATATGCTTCAATGTAGACACTTGATCTACACATCCTCTACCCACTCTAAAACTTCCTTGCTCATCCACAATCCTACATTCTGTCTTACCTCTAATTCTTTCAATAACAACCCTACCGTGCACTTTTCCTGGTATACTCGGTAAACTAGTTCCTCTATAATTTTTACAATCTCTTTTGTCCCCCTTCCGTTTATATAAAGGGACTATCCATGCTCTCTGCCGGTTCCTAGGTACCTCTCCCTCTTTCATACATTTATTAAACAAAAATACCAACCACTCTAACACTATCCTCCCCTGCTTTTAGCATTTCTGTCATGATCCCGTCAGTTCCAGCTGCTTTACCCCCTTTCATTCTATGTAATGCCTCATGCACCTCCCACACTCGCATCCTGCTCTTCTTCACTCCTAAAAGATGGTATACCTCCCTGGCCAATGCATGAAATTACTGCCTCCCTTTCTTTGTCAACATTTAAAAGTTCCTCAAAATATTCCCGCCATCTATCCAATACCTCCATCTCCCCATCTACTAACTCCCCTACTCTGTTTTTAACTGACAAATCCATTCGTTGCCTAATCTTTAACTTGTTTAACCCCCTCCAAAATTTTTCTTATTTTCATTAAAATTTCTTGACAGTGCCTCTCCCACTCTATCATCTGCTCTCCTTTTGCCCTCTCATAAGCTACCTTTTTCTCTTATCACACCCTTTACTTCATTCCACCATTCACTCCTCTTTCCTCCTGCACCCACCCTCCTATAACCACAAACTTCTGCCCCACATTCTAATACTGCATTTTTAAAACTATTCCAACCCTCTTCAAACCCCCCCCCCCCCACTATGCATACTTGCACTAGCCCACCTTTCTGCCAGTAGTTGCTTATATCTCACCCGAACTTCCTCCTCCCTTAGTTTATACACTTTCACCTCTCTCTTATTTGTTGTTGCCACTTTCTTCTTGTCCCATCTACTTCTTACTTTAACTGTAGCTACAACTAAATAATGATCCAATATATCAGTTGCCCCTCTATAAACATGTACATCCTGGAACCTACCCATCAACCTTTTATCCACCAATACATAATCTAACAAACTGTTTTCATTATGCGCTATATCCCCCTCAAGGAAGGTTCCTTGATGTTGGTGAGGGGCTCTTGATTTAGGGAATTGGATCTGTGCTCCAGTTCCCCGAATTAAGCCTGAATGCCTTCCACATCCCCCCCCCAGGCGCTGTATAATCCTCTAGGTTTAGCGCTTCCCCCTTGATTATAATAATAATATGCGCTATATCATACTTTGTATGTTTATTTATGCTCTTTTTTCATAAAATATGTATTACTTATTACCAAACCTCTTTCTACACATAGCTCAATAAAAGGCTCCCCATTTTCATTTACCCCTGGCACCCCAAATTTACCTACTACTCCCTCCGCAACATTTTTACCCATTTTAGCATTGAAATCCCCAACCACAAGTACTCTCACACTTGGTTCAAAGCTCCCCATGCATTCACTCAACATTTCCCAAAATCTCTTTCTTCTACACTTCTCTCTTCTCCAGGTGCATAGATAAAGAAAAATTGGATATCAAATTGGAGAGGAGTATGGAAGAAGTGAATGTTTTCAGATATTTAGGAGTTGACGTGTCAGCGGATGGATTTATGAAGGATGAGGTTAATCACAGAATTGATGAACGAAAAAAGGCGAGTGGTGCGTCGAGGTATATGTGGAGACAAAAAACGTTATCTATGGAGGCAAGGAAGGGAATGTAGAAAAGTATAGTAGTACCAACACTCTTATATGGGTGTGAAGCTTGGGTTGTAAATGCTGCAGCGAGGAGATGGTTGGAGGCAGTGGAGACGTCCTGTCTAAGGGCAATGTGTGGTGTAAATATTATGCAGAAAATTCGGAGTGTGGAAATTAGGAGAAGGTGTGGAGTTAATAAAAGTATTAGTCAGAGGGCTGAAGAGGGGTTATTGAGGTGGTTTGGTCATTTAGAGAGAATGGATCAAAATAGAATGTCATGGAGAGCGTATAAATCTGTAGGGGAAGGAAGGCGGGGTAGGGGGTCGTCCTCGAAAAGGTTGGAGGGAGGGGGTAAAGGAGGTTTTGTGGGAGAGGGGCTTGGACTTCCAGCAAGCGTGTTAGGAGTGAATGGAGACAAATGGTATTTGGGATCTGACAATCTGTTGGAGTGTGAGCAGGGTAATATTTAGTGAAGGGATTCAGGGAAACCGGTTATTTTTATATAGCCGGACTCGAGTCCTGGAAATGGAAAGTACAATGCCTGCACTTTAAAGGAGGGGTTTGGGATATTGGCAGTTTGGAGGGATATGTTGTGCATCTTTATACATATATGCTTCTGAGCACCTCTGCAAAAACAGTGATTATGAATGAGTGAGGTGAGAGTGTTGAATGATGATAAAAGTATTTTCTTTTTGGGTCACCCTGCCTTGGTGGGAGATGGCCGACTTGTTAAAAAAAATATACAGTGGTCCCTCGTTTATCGTCATTAATCCGTTCCTGGAAGTGTGACGATTGTCGAAATAGACGATTTCGAATAAATTTTCGCCCATAAGTAATAATGTAAATACAATTAATCCGTTCCTGACACCCAGAAGTATTAAGAAAATTTTTTTTACATGAAATATAGATGTAGTACATAAACAATACAATGGGACATGATGAATGAAACATTAACAGCATAACACTTTCCTTTATTGGTGATTCTTTTTAGTGTATGGAAGACTGGAGGAGGAGAGAGATTGGATTAGTTACTGTTTGGAAGGGGAATCCCCTTCCATCAACACCTCTGGTACCAAGTCCTTTTCTGGGGTTACTTCTCTTCTCTGTTTCTTAATGCTACTAGGACCACCTTGAGAGTCACTGGAGTTCTGTCTCGCAAAAAGTATCCAGAGAGCTCTGTTTCTGGCGTCTCTTTAAAACTTCCCTAAAATGGGCCAAGACTTTGTCACTGTACATGTTGCCAACATGGCTTGCAACATCCTTCTCAGGGTGATGTTTCTCCATAAATCTTTCCATCCTACCCCACATTTCAAAAATCTCCTTAATTTCTGAAGAAGGCACCTTCTTCCATCTCTCTTCCTCCTCCTCTGCAGCAAGACTCTGAGCTGTGATCTGTTGCTGTTCCTGCTGAAGCTCTTTCAGCTCCTCAGTGGTTAGCTCTTTGTTGTGGTCTTCCACCAACTCTTCCACATCCTCCAAACTCGCATCCCACCCCATGGAACTCCCCAATGCCACAATAGAGTTCACAACTGGCATAGGCTCATCAGGGTCAGCCACAAACCCTTCAAAATCTCTCTTGTGGACACAATCTGGCCACAATTTTCTCCAAGCAGAGTTCAAAGTCCTGGTAGTCACTCCCTCCCAAGGCTTACTTATAAGGCTTATGCAATAGAGGATACTGAAGTGTTCTTTCCAAAAATCTCTTAGGGTCAAGCGAGTGTCTGAGGTCACATTAAAGCACCTTTGAAACATTGCTTTGGTGTAGAGTTTTTTAAAGTTTGAAATGACCTGCTGGTCCATGGGCTGGAGGAGAGGAGTGGAATTTGGGGGGCAAGAACTTTACTGTGATGAACCCAAACTCCTGCAGAATTAGGTCATCCAAGTTTAGAGGATGAGCAGGTGCATTGTCCATTACTAGGAGGCACTTGAGATCCAATTTCTTTTCCAGGAGGTAATTCTTCACATTAGGGCCAAACACTTCATTGAACCACTCGACGAAAATTTCCCTCGTGACCCATGCCTTATTATTAGATCTCCAAAACATACACAATTTACTCTTCATAACATTGTTTTTCCTGAACACTCTGGGATTTTCAGAATGGTACACTAGTAACAGCTTCACTTTGAAATCCCCACTAGCATTAGCACAGAACATGAGTGTCAGCCTGTCTTTCATAGGCTTGTGTCCTGGTAGTCCCTTTTCCTCCTAAGTAATGTAGGTCCTCTTTGGCATTTTCTTCCAAAAGAGGCCTGTTTTGTCACAATTGAACATTTGTTCAGGTTTCAGTCCTTCAGCCCCTATGTACTCCATGAATTCACTTACGAATTTTGTAGCCGCAATTTTGTCACACTGCCTTATCACACTGTGTATGCCACTACGGTTCTTAAATCTCCCAAACCAACATTTGCTGGCTTTAAATTCACAAATATCAGTACTCATTTCAGGCAATTTCTTTACCAGATCGTCATGCAACTGCCTAGCCTTTTCACAAATAATCGACATCATAAGACTAACTCCTGCTAATTGTTTCTCATTTATCCACACCAATAATAACTTCTCAACATCTTTGGGTACTGGTGATCTCATTTTTGTCAGGATATTTACCCACTTTGCAACAACAGCTTCCTTGCTTTCCTTTTTCTTGGCCATGATAGATATGGTTGTACAGGATTTGTTATACATCCTGGCCAGTTCGGCCACACGTACGCCACTTTCATATTGTTCAATGATGTTTTTCTTAAATTCAATCGTATTTCTCACCTTCTTTACCAATGGCTTGGCACTAGGAGCTTTCTTTGGAGCCATGGTAGCTTATTTAGCACTTGCAAGCACTAAAATGAATGTAATATTATGAAATAGTTTGTATGAACAAGTGAGGGGACCGTAGCTTACTGGTAAACAGTGGCACATTGGCTGGGAAGGGAGACTGAGGCGGCTTAGAGCCATGAGTATGTGTTCAGGACAAACGACGATTAGCGAGTCAACCGGCCATTTGCGAGCCAATGTTTGGACGAAAATAACGCTACGATTTCTGAAAAGGACGATTATCGAGGGACCACTGTATATATTTTTTTAACACACTGGCCATCTTCCACTGAGGCAGGGTGACCCAAAAAGAACACTTTCACCATCATTCACACTATCACTGTCTTCCCAGAGGCACACAGATGCAACAGTTAAAATAACCCTCCATAGAGTAAATATCCCCACCCCTCTAGAGTGCTGGCACTATACTTTTCTTGAGGACTCAAGTCCCTTCAGTACTGTATTACCCTTCTGTGTTTAATTTTTTTTTTTTTATTAACACATCGGCCAATTCCCACCAAGGTAGGGTGGCCCGAAAAAGAAAAACTTCCATCACTGTCTTGCCAGAGGGGTGCTTTAAATTACAGTTTTTAAAACTGCAACATTAACACCCCTCCTTCGGAGTGCAGACACTGTACAGGTACCATCCGACTTACAATCTATGCGACATACAACCACTCGACTTATGACCGTGCGTCTGGCACCAGTATAATGTGAGCCTTTATTGACAACATTTCGCCCACACAAGTAGAGGTGGTAGTAGTAGTTATACATGTGGTGGAAAAGTCAGCTGGTACATGAGAACGAAAGGTTACATAAGCTATGGCTTAGGTGGCATAAAAAATAGGTCAGGCAAATGTATATGGATGGATTTGAGAAGGCATGTTTCAGTGGTGACCTGTAATTAGCTCAGTGAGGATGTGTCTAGTGTACTCCCTTTGGAGTAAACCAGGATGCCCTCCATTGAGCAACTTCACCAGCAGCTTAAAGAGGAATTGAGGGTAGCGAAGCTTGAGATACGGCGATTGATGGAGGAAAACAAGAGGATTCGTAGTAGTCCTGTTGTGAGTCCTCAGGTCAAGAAGGGAACCTGGGTAGTGGCTGGACAGCATGGAATGAAGTTGAGGATCAAGAAGGCAAATGGAGAGGAGGAGACGATGAAGAAGAAAGAGACTGTTGTGGTAACTTCGAACTCCTTTACTGTGCTACCAGATGAATGTGAGTCAGCCACCCACGATCTTCTAACAAAGACAGTTGCTAACGACACAATGAAGCCACCCAGTGAAGACCATCTCTACAAAGACTGCCGAGAATGTCATGAACACTGCCAGTCAATGTAAGAACATTGTTTTAGTTGGGGACAGTCAGATTAAGTTTATGGATAGGGCTTTTTGTCTTAGGGATAGAAATAGGAGGCAGAGGGTGTGTTTTCCTAGGGCTGGGATGAAGGATATTGTTAGCCGTCTGGACGACATCACAAGAAGTAATGGGAGTAATCCTATTATCTGTCTCAGTGCTGGAGGCAACGATGTTGACAGACGTAGGAGTGAGGACTTGATTAGCAGGTATAGGTCAGGAATAGACATAATTAGGAAGAAGGGTGGGAACCCTGTCATATGTGGCATTTTGCCAAGGAGAAGAGTTGGAAATGAATGGTTGTCCAGGGCAGTTGGTGTCAACTGCTGGCTGGACAAATACTGTAAGGAAAATGTGGTAACATTTATTGACAACTGGGACCTCTTCTATGGCAGATATGACATGTATACCAGGGATGGGGTTCACTTATCAAGGTCTGGGGTGGGGGCACTGGCAACTGCGTGGAGGGAGCTGTTAGGTAAGCTTTAAACTAGGAATAGTTAGTGGTATGGGTTTTTGCAGGAAAACAGTGAACTCCCAGGTGTATAGAACAAAAGTTAGAGATAAGATAGGTCACCTTAAAAATAACTATGGGCATCTTACTGACAAAGAGAATGAAATGTGCTCGATTTTAAATACACCTACCATCCGACTTATGACCTACTCGACTTACGACCGTGTTTTTTATGCCAAATTTCTGGGAAATAAACAACTATTTGTGTTGTACACAGTGTTTATCCTAAACCTTACAGTATAAAATACAGTTCTAACAGCATAAAAGTAAAGTAAAACATGAAATACCAAAATAAAACAAAATAGTCATTACAAAAATGTTTTGTTAATATTCAGTAGTAAAGTTCGACTTATGACCGGTTTCTCGGAACCGAACTCGGTCGTAAGTCGGATGGTAGGTGTAATTATTTTCTCTCGGTTTTTACACAGGTCGATGGATCTATAATTTCCTCACTAACAGAACACAGAGAGTAGTCGCCAACAGAGTAAAGTCCGAGGCAGCTACGGTGAAAAGCTCTGTTCCACAAGGCACAGTACTCGCTCCCATCTTGCTCCTCATCCTCATATCCGACATAGACAAGGATGTCAGCCACAGTACCGTGTCTTCCTTTGCAGATGACACCCGAATCTGCATGACAGTGTCTTCCATTGCAGACACTGCAAAGCTCCAGGCGGACATCAACCAAATCTTTCAGTGGGCTGCAGAAAACAATATGAAGTTCAACGATGAGAAATTTCAATTACTCAGATATGGTAAACATGAGGAAATTAAATCTTCATCAGAGTACAAAACAAATTCTGGCCACAAAATAGAGCGAAACACCAACGTCAAAGACCTGGGAGTGATCATGTCGGAGGATCTCACCTTCAAGGACCATAACATTGTATCAATCGCATCTGCTAGAAAAATGACAGGATGGATAATGAGAACCTTCAAAACTAGGGAGGCCAAGCCCATGATGACACTCTTCAGGTCACTTGTTCTATCTAGGCTGGAATATTGCTGCACACTAACAGCACCTTTCAAGGCAGGTGAAATTGCCGACCTAGAAAATGTACAGAGAACTTTCACGGCGCGCATAACGGAGATAAAACACCTCAATTATTGGGAGCGCTTGAGGTTCCTAATCCTGTATTCCCTGGAACGCAGGAGGGAGAGATACATGATTATATACACCTGGAAAATCCTAGAGGGACTAGTACCGAACTTGCACACGAAAATCACTCACTACGAAAGCAAAAGACTTGGCAGACGATGCACCATCCCCCCAATGAAAAGCAGGGGTGTCACTAGCACGTTAAGAGACCATACAATAAGTGTCAGGGGCCCGAGACTGTTCAACTGCCTCCCAGCACACATAAGGGGAATTACCAACAGACCCCTGGCAGTCTTCAAGCTGGCACTGGACAAGCACCTAAAGTCAGTTCCTGATCAGCCGGGCTGTGGCTCGTATGTTGGTTTGCGTGCAGCCAGCAGCAACAGCCTGGTTGATCAGGCTTTGATCCACCAGGAGGCCTGGTCACAGACCGGGCCGCGGGAGAGTTGACCCCCGGAACTCTCTCCAAGTAAACTCCAGGTAAACAATAGTGGGCCTGAAGAAGATAAATTATGTAACATCACAGTCACTAGTGAAATGGTTATGAAACAAATAGACCGACTGAAACAAAATAAATTGCCGGGTCCTGATGAGCTTTTTTCAAGGGTTCTTAACCCCTTTCAGGGTCCACAGGCCCTCTCAGAAACTTGTTCTCAGGGTCCCCCAAATTTAAAAAAAAAAATAGTTTTTCTTATGAAAAGATAGAGAATCTTTTCCCGATCATAATGACACCAAAAGTATGAAATTTGATGGAAAACTTACGGAATTATGCTCTCGCGAAGTTAGCGGGACTAGTATACAAAAATCATAACACAGTATTTCGCTAGAACTCCATTTTTTCTATCGAATGAGTACAAGAAACCACCAATTTACCGATTTCAACTATCCAATACAGTGGTCAGAATTTAGCAATTTTGCCAATTTCCAAATAGGGTCCAGAATAAACAAGAAAAACATTCCTGGCACTAAAATAACATTTCCTCTGTTCATTAGTCACATCCCTATGCCCCTCTTACATTCTTTTGCTTTCCATTTTGAATTTTTATTCTCACAAAAAATAGAAGATTTACTGTTATGCAGACTACTGCATTAGTGTAGAAATGGTATAAATAATATCGGCGCACTTGTGAAAGAATATTAGACTCCCCAGTTGGCGTGTATTGGATGCTTAGCATGATTTGTTTACTCTTGAACTTTGGTAAAAATCAAACATTTCTGCTACTTTGAGCTCAATTTCAAGGTACTTTTCATTGTAAAACCAGTCAAAATCATCTCAATTTCTGTAATATGTCTTCCATTCTATACAACGAGACCAGGAAAATTAAAATACAACAATAAATACCATACGAAAATACAGTGCAAAGTCGCTGTTTTAATCCAAAAACACGGTCAAAGTTTTTTTTCTCATTACGCACTGTGTGCTGCAGGATTTTTTTTTATACTGCGCACACTGACCACATAGACCCATTCTTTCATATGTAGGCCTACCAGCTTTCTCTCACTAGATTTAAAGGCACTAGAATTTATGAGTACTAGTATGTCATGGACCCTGGTGCATAAGCCGTACTAGTGCGGCCGAAACCCTGAAAGGGTTAAGGAATGAAAAATGGAACTCTGTGAACCATTAACTAATATTTTTAATTTATCTCTTCAAACAGGTGTAGTGTCTGATATGTGGAAGATGGCTAGGGTAATTCCTGTTTTTAAAGCAGGAGACAAGTCGTTACCGTCAAATTACCGCCCGATAAGCCTGACCTCAATTGTAGGCAAATTGCTAGAGTCAATTATAGCTGAGATTATAAGAGGCCATCTGGATAAGCATAATCCGATTAATGATACTCAGCATGGATTCACGAGAGGCCGTTCCTTTCTAACTAATTTATTAACTTTCTTCAGTAAAGCTTTTGAGGCTGTTGATCACGATAAAGAATTTGATATTGTTTTAGTAAGGCTTTTGATAGAGTACCGCACCAAAGACTGTTAAAGTGGCAGCTCATGGCATTGGGGAAAAGTGCTGTCATAGATCGAGTCATGGCTCACAGACAGGAAGCAGAGAGTGTGCATAAATGGGATTAAATCTGAGTGGGGATCTGTAACAAGTGGTGTTCCACAGGGATCAGTCTTAGGCCCGTTGTTGTTTATAATATATATCAATGATCTTGATGAGGGAATAGCAGTGATGTGAGCAAATTCGCCGATGACACAAAGATAGATAGGATAATTGATTCAAACATAGATATCAGGGAACTTCAGGAGGATTCAGACAAACTCAATACCTGGTCAGAAATGTGGCAGATGCAGTTCAGGTTCTGAAGCTCGGGAGCGTTCATAACCCCTAGCACTTATAAGTTAAATAATGTCAAACTTAGCCATACAGATTGCGAAAAGGACTTGGGGGTTATGATGAGCAGTAACCTTAAACCAAGACAGCATTGCCTAAGAGTATGTAATAAGGCAAACAGATTACTGGGATATATATCAAGAAGTGTAAGCAACAGAGGTTATATTACAGCTTTATGCATTATTTGTAAGGCCTCGCCTAGATTGTGCAGCCCAGTTCTGTTCTCCATATTGCAGAATGGACATAAATTCATTAGAAAACATTCAGCATAGAATGACTAAATTAATACATAGCATTAAAAATCTTATGGAAGATGGGTATCAATAAAGGGGATATAAATAAGGTCTTGAGGATATCTCTCCAAGAGAGAACCCACAGTAATGGATTCAAATTAGATAAGTTTAGATTTAGAAAGGATACAGGAAAGTATTGCTTTGGAAATAGGGTAGTTGATGAGTGGAGCAGTCTGCCTAGTAGGGTTATCAAGGCTAAAACCTTGGGTAGTTTCAAATTTAGGTTGGATAAATACAAGAGTGAGAGGGGTTGGATTTGAGTGGGACTTGTACATGGGTAAATAGAATTATCAAAGCTTATTTCTTGGGTAGCATTGAAAATTGGGTCAGGCAAATATTTTGTTAGTGGGATGGATTGTGAAGGACCTGCCTAGTATGGGCCAACAGGCCTTCTGCAGTGTTCCTCCTTTCTTATGGTCTTATGTACTACTATTATCCAGTACGTCAGCAATATTCTAAGGTTCGACTTACGTCTATTTTGACTTACGACCGGTTGGTCGGAACCAAGCTCAGTCGTAAGTTGGATGGTACCTGTACTTCCCATCTCAAGTCCGGCCTGCCGGTTTCCCTGAATCCCTTCATAAATGTTACTTTGCTCACACTCCAACAGCACATCGAAGTATTAAAAACCATTTGTCTCCATTCACTCCTATCAAATACGCTCACGCATGCTTGCTGGAAGTCTAAGCCCCTCGCACACAAAACCTCCTTTAAACTGATTGTAATAATAATAATAAATGACCCCCACTGGTTCAGCACTTACTATCATAATGGTAATACAATACTAGCAATAATAATTTTAAGGTACTTTAAGACTTCCTAGCCATTCCTCTTGAGTGTGTCTAATTTGCCAACATCCCAATGTGTGTAACAACATTAAGGAACAGATACCATACATAACAAAAGTTATATATAGTATCTGTGTCACATTTTGGAGTTTATATTTACATTATACAGCATTTTTATATTATACATTTTAAGTATGTAATTATTAAGTTTTAATATTAAGTTGTATATTCGTGTATTCTTTTAATGTCAAGACGTTTGGTGTATATATTTTTTATAGAATATTGTATTGCACTGATCTCTGACTTATTTTTTTATGACTCGGCCCTGCATTTCAACGAGATTCTCAGTACAGGAGGGCCCCGCTTATCCAGCACGCTAGGTTCTGGGCTACTGCTGTAACACAGAAATCATTGCCTTTTTTTCACTTTCAAATGCATATAAAAGCCTAATAATAATATGCTTACACTATCATATATTAAGTGAACAATATAGCTAGGACTGAAAAATGCATATACAGTACACACATTACTTACCTTAAAGTATTTACATCCTTAGCTTATAGCGAGTGGTGAATATATTTATTGTAGGAAGTCTGAATAAATAAAGAATGGGTATAATGAAAACAGCTGTATAAGCGAAATGCTGTGAAGCGGGACCCTCCTGTACACTGTTTATACCATATTCTTCAAGCCCTTCAGCAAGAAACTGATAAATTGTTAATTAGCTGCCTGGTGTTTCTGATAATGTGCAGTACTTTTATTTTAAGAACACATTTTATTCGCACAGATTATAGTAATTGCCTTAATTGTTTAGTACATTAACATATTTAAATTTCTCAAACACATTGTGAAATCTAACAGTTCATTATTATGGGAAATTTTAAATAGATACTTCATGTATAGATGTTGCTCATTCCTAATTAAATATGAGAAAATGGCCCATCCTCCTAAGCAGTAGCATTACACTATTTCACTTTGACTAAGACTATGGAATGTGCAACACTAGAATGAAAAGACAAATATTTAGTAGTTTGTTGTACAGTACATTGGTGGATCTCCATTTCCTGTTCAGACTTTAAAAGTTGCCATCCCTTTTATTTATTATTGAATTTAATGGTATTGTAGTATGTTATAATTTGTTACATTTTGCTAGTAGATGACATTCTAACTTAACCTAAATGCAGTAAATTTAACAGTATCAAGAAATTTGCTTAAAATAGTATCTTAGAAACAGATTTTTTGCTTCACGAGGATGGGTTGGCGAAAAATGATATATAGTATCATGGGCATGATTAGTTCTCTAATTACATAAAGCATTTTTCACTAATAATAAAATATAAATGGGCAATTTAATCCTATCACTGTCCAGACCCTCGAAATTAATTTTGCTCTGTCCACATATTTAAAAAAAAAAATTCTTTTGAAATGGTAGGGAAGTTTTTTCTGAAGGTAATGACACCAAAAGTATGGAATTTGATGGAAAACTTATGGAATTACTCAGGTGCAAAATTAGTGGTCTGGGCGCAATTTATGCATCAGCGGTTTTGCCTACTGAGTCTTATTTTAAACCAAAAAGGGAACACTATCAACATTGATGACCCCAGACTATTCAACATCTTACCAGAAGATATCAGAAACACAGCTGGAACAAGTGTAGAAGAGAAAACTGAACAGGTATCTTCACCAGGTCCAAGATCAACTAGGTTGTGATGGATATGTGGGGTAGCAGGCCTAGAGCAACAATGGCCAGGCTCAGAGAGTAGTAAAACTCTTGAAACTCATCAAAGGTTATATCAGAAGTAAAGATAACTATTAGAACTACCTTATAATGTCCTCTTCAAGGGGGGCTCCTTGGCGTGGTGAAGAGGCTCTTGGTCTGAGGAATTAGACCTGTCGGTCTCCTTCCTCAGACCGAACCTAATTACCCCCCAATCCCCCCTTCCCTATCCCATCCTCCCCTTTTCCTTTCCTCCTCCTCCTCCCCACCCCTCCCTTTTGCCCTTCCTCTTTTTGGCCTTTGAGATTTTTCCCACAGGCACACTAGTTCATAGGTAGGGGGAAGGGTACCAGGGTCCATCCCATTCCGTTGAGGTTCTTGGCAGTGGCGTAGTTTGCCGTGGGATCTGGATCGCCTGGGGATGTCCTGATCCCTCTCCGGTATCCCGGAGGGTGGCTTTGGGTGTCTTTCGGGCGACGGGTGTATCTCTGAAAGCCACCTTTCGGATTCTGGGGGTGGTGGCCGAAGGAGGTATGCTTTTTGGCGGATATCCGGCCGCCCTCTCTTTTGTCCACTGAGGTAGCTATCCCGGATTGCTGGTTTACTGGCATGAAGGGTTAGGGTATGGCACGGGTTCCCTGCTGCATCTGCGTTACTTGCAGTGCTGAGGTCCTCTTGGGCGCGGAGGGAGATTTCTGGCCCTTTCATTCCTCCTAGGAACTATCCCTCCCTGGTCCCCCCTTTTTTTCTTTTTTTTATTTTATTTTCTTTTCTTTTTTTTCTTAAAAAGAAAAAGAAAAAAGTAACCTCACCATGGAGTCCCAAATCCATGACCCCGCTACCCCCGGGCCCCTTATTGTTACCGCACCCTGTTCTGACCTCGCCTCGTCTTTTGGCCACTCCTAAGGCCCCTGTACCTCTTGCTGGTGCTGTTTCCTCACCCTCTTCAGGTACCGGGGCTTCCACTGACTCCTTCGATTTGTCTGACCTCCGCTCTCCTTTGACTATGCTTCCGGCCTCTCCCTCTATGGTGCGACGATTTTCGAATCGCCAGCCCGTCTCACGTCGGACCGACTCTGGTCCCACTTCTAAACGCCAACGACAATCTCCTGACGATGTTACTTCGTTACTTTCCCATTCTACTCGGAAAAGACCGACATGTCATGCACTCCCTCTCCACACTCGGTTTTGGACCACACAATGGACTAAATTCTTTACGACCGACTTCTTCTACTGCCTATCTTTCTGACCATAGTATTGGCAAAGCGCTCCTACGCCACGTTGGTAGAGATATTTCCTTTCATGCTCTTAAGAGTGGTATGTGCATCATCACAGTCCAGAATTCTACCCAAGCTCATGATCTTTCTCTTCTTTCACATATTGATACTATTCCTATCACTATCGAAAAACATCATTCCCTCAATTCTTGTAATGGTACTGTTATTCTGCCCCATACCATAGTCCAACAGAATTTCCAGACATGTGGCAATGACATTCTCGAACAGCTGGAACTCCAAGATCTCCCAATTCTCAAGGTAGACACTTATGTTCTTCCCGCCCGCGGGCGAAGACGATACCCTTGCAATGTGGCTCGTTTAACTTTTGACAGCCGTGAACTCTCATCCTCTGTTTATGTAGCAGGACATCAGTTACAAGTTCGAAAGGTGATCCCTACACCGCAACAGTGTAGGAATTGCTGGCGATTTGGCCACCCAGCAAAATAGTGCAGATCTATAGCCGAATGCCCAGTCTGTGGTGCGGATGACCATTCTAATACATCTTGCAGTCGACCTCCCTCTTGCCTTAATTGTCATGAGGCTCACCCTTCATACTCTCGCCGTTGCCAGGTCTACTTAAA